GGGAGCTCCTGGACCAGCGCTCTCCTTAGGGTCTGGGAGTTAAGTCCATGTCTTGGTGCCATGACCCATGACTGCCACCAGGGGTCAGCAGGCCCACGGCGGGCTGTAGAGTGGACGCTGTGGCCAGAGCAGCAGCAGGGACAGGAGGTCTGAGAGGTGAAGCCGGCAGCAACCTGGACACAGGTGTTGGCTGGTGTCTTGGAGGTCAACTCTGGCCAGGCCCTCTGGCTGGCTGAGCTGTGGTCTTTAGCCACCGGGGGCATAGAGGGTGTCAGCTGCCTTGGAAAAGCTACAGGGGTCCCGGGAGCTGATTCTGGTGCCTCCTTGGGGACCCTAGGCAAAGCACAGTGCTCATGACCATCATGACCAGGGTGGCATTTGGAGTCATTCCAAGCAGGCTTTAAACCCTGTGTGGCCTTGGGGCACTTCCTTTACCTCTCTGAGCCTCAGGTAACTTTCCATCTGTAAAATGGGAGAAATCATCAAAGGGCTTTGGAAGGATCCAACAAAATAACGCATGCAAAGAACTTAGCACAGGCTGGCGTGACGCAGTCATGCAATAAACCATACGATTGTCATTCCTGTCATCAATAGAGTTTTCAGGGGGATCGTCCTTTCTGTCGTCGTCTTCTCCAGGATGCTCCTGCTGGCTTTTAATGTTTCTAATCTCCTGTTGATTATTCCTGGGGTTTCAGCCAAATAAGCACTGCCAATTAAAGCTCTTGCTGTAGCTCCAAGTGGGGTTGCCATGGCAATGGGAGCAGGGATTTCACTTCTTCCTTGGAATACACACACACATGTGTGAGTCTTTTTGTGGGTTTCTGCCCGTGTGTCTAGCTGTTACCAGAACTCCCTGCCGCGGAGCCGGAGGTGACAGGTGGGAAGAGAGAGGGAGGAAAGTGGGACGTGGGGTGCAGTGTGGGGGCCCCTCCTCCTGCACGGAGCCCCCTTCAGCCTGGGAAGCCTTTGCCTGGGATGCTGCAGCCAGCATTGCGAGGGAACGAATGTGGGTTTCCCCGTGCAAACTTACTCTGCCTTTGCAATGGCCTCAGGGGCCCTGTCCAGCCTGGTTGGCAGGATGAGGCTGTGCTGGGTGACAGACGGCCCTGCCTGAGTTTTCAGAGCATTACAGATGTGTGTGTGTCTGTGTGTTGTCCCTGTGTGTATTTGTGTATGTGTCTCTGTGTGTTCCTGTGTGTCTGTGTGTTTGTGTGTCTGTATCTCTTTTTCTGTGTATCTGTGTGTGTGTCTGTGTGTATTTCTGTGTGTGTCTCTGTGTGTGTGTGTGTGTGTATCTGTGTCTCTTTCTCAGTTTGTGTGTCTGTTCCTGTATGTGTCTCTGTATGTCTCTTTGTGTGTACATGTGTGTGTCTCTGTACCTGCGACTCTGCATGTGTGAGTGTGCGTGTGTGTTGGGGGGCTTGAGTTGGTCATTGAAGCTGAATCTCAGACAGGCTATGGGATTTTAAACTCAGCTCAGGCCTGGGGTTAATTGAGGTCCAGGGAGGGGCTGAGCTAGAACCAGAGCAGGGGCTCACTCCGACCTTTGGCTTCTCTGAATTGCAGATGCAGTCAGCATCGGGCCTACCCCATGTCAGCACTGGGAGCTCCTGGAAGCAGGGCCGGCTCTTGCATGTGGGGATTGGCTGGAACTTTTTTCAGTTTAAAAGGGTCAAAGTAGCTTGAGTAAAATTAAATAAATACACGGAAGAAAGAAAGAGAGAAAGGAAGGAAGGGAGGGAGGGAGGAAAAAAGGAAGGGAGGGAGGAATAAAGAAAGAAAAAGAAAGAAAAAAAGAACACAGCCCCAGGCGCACATAGAGATGCTGTGCTGGGCCCAGTTACCCAGGGTTGAGGCCCAGCCAGCTTCACGAAGAGCTGGATCTGGCTGTGTGAGCGTGGCAGGCCTGACTTTCTCCAGAAAGTGTTTGGAGCCCTGTTGCTGGGGTGGAGCCGGATGGCTCGTGTGAAGGGCAGAGCTTCTTGCTGGTAGCGTGGACACAGCAGATCTCATGGAAGGGTGGGACCAGCCTTGCTGGGGTCCAGCACCCGGGCCTGGGCCACCCCGGGCCTGGGGACAGTGGTCTTTGGCTGGGTCTGGGTCTCCTGTCCCCAGGGCTAGGGTGGGTAGTGAAAATGGATGCACAGTGCCCAGGACCACATGGGCAGGGAGAGGGGGAGGCTGCCCCCAGGACCCTGCATCCGTACCTGTGGGACGGGCTTGCCTTCGCTGCTAGGTGAGAAACACCTCACTGAGGACAGAGCTTCGTGTTCTGCACCCGTGATGTGCCCTGCAGTGTGCAGGGGCTGATGGAGGAGCTGTGGGCTGGGCTCTCTGTGAGCCTGTGATCTCACCACCCCGGCACCTCTGCACTGAGGGGAGGCAGCAAGAGAGGGGAGCTCATCTGGAGGAGTCAGTGCCAGCTTTGAGAAGCCTTAGCCCCTTTTAGACACCTGGAGGCTGGGAAGCCCCAGTCTCCCCCAGCCCCCTCCGTGGGGATTAGTATGAGCAGGTCCTGTCCTGCCCAGGAAGCAGCTTCCTTGGATTTGGAAAGCAGGAGCCTTGGAGGGAGGTGCCAGCTTGCCTTGAGTTGGCTGAGGAGGGGGCAGCCCCTCCAGGGGTCATGCGATGGGCTAGGCAGAGCATAACTTCCAACTGCTATTGCTGGACTTGCTTGGAAATGCCCCGGGTGCTGAGGGCTGTGAGGGGCCTCAGGCAGCCCATGTGGCCAGTGGTCCCTCCTTCTCAGTTGAGATTCCACGTTCAGGAACTGTGTCTTCTTCGCTGCTGACATCACAGAGCCAGCCCGGCTGGGTGGTTGGTGAAGGCCAGGAGCCCAGCTGATGGGGCCGTGGTGGACATCCTGCTGGGAGTGGTGGTGTCAGGGCTGCAGTCAGGGGTGCTGGGGAAGGGACCCTGACATCTCTCAAGAGGTGAGAGAGGTCCTCAGTTGCTGGTGTTTGTGGACAGTTTACACCTTGCTGAAGATGAGCCATCTAGACGTGACGTCTGTAGGACTGAGGGGGTGCTGTGGGGAGAAGGGGACCAGGTCACTGCTCCTGCACTCGGGGAAGTCACAATATGCAGCACACATGCCATTTCCTGAAGACACATGCCTGTCTTGCCAGGCAAGAGACTATGACTGTAATAAAGAAAGAGGAGAGAGACACAAAGGGTGGCTGTACAGTCAACAGGGACAGGTTTATTTTAAATAAACCTGAGAGGGGCAGCTGGCTGAGTTAGGTCAGAGCCACACTCTTTTATGGACTAAGAGGTTTTAAGGATTTAGGGTGGGAGAGTTTATTAGAAGCTTGGACTGCTTCTGTGTTTTTTTTTGCTGTGCTTATTTGAGAGGGAGAGTTGTGTGTGTGTTTCCATTCTTTAATTCTTACAATGACCTCACCTCTTATGAGGCTCCCCCTGTGCCAGGCAGTGCACGGAGCTCCTCACATGATCCTCATGGAGGCCCCGTGGGCAGGTGTGAGGTGCCTGGCAGACAGGTGAGGCGCCAGGCATACATAACTTGTCCAAAGTCCCACATCGCGGGTGGCGGGAGCCATAACCACTGTTTTCAAGGAGCTCCTCCTCCTCCTCAGGGCCCAAACAGCACTGGGCACATCAGGAAGTGGGTGGTAGGGTGGGGCGAGGGCCTGGGCTGGCCCCATGGACTCATCTCTTTTCCCTAGACTAGGTACCTGCAGCAGGGGTGAGGTCTCTTGAGGGACTCCAAAGCCTGAGGTGCAGCCTCCAGCTCAGCTTGTTCCTCCGTCAGGGCCAGGTGGGAAGGTGAGGAGTGGGCCCAGGGCAGACAGGTGTGTGCATGGGCGTGCTGCCTGCTTCATCCAGGAAACCAAAGGGACGGAGACAAGGGTGACTCTTGAGGTTCTCCAAGGTGTCCATGAGTGGGAAGCACCCCCCTGCCCAGGCAAGAGGTGGGCATATCAGTGGGACCTATACTGGTTGGATGGATCCAGAGATATTCTGAGGGGCATTGGCCCCACTGCCCCTGCTGCCTACTTCCCCTGGTCCCCAGTCAATCCTCCTGTCACCTCACCAGGCCCTGCACAGCTCAGAGCAGCAGTTGAAGTTCATCCTGGGCACGTGTGCAAGCCCACCTGGGCTCCCAGCCTTGTGTGAGGCCTGGGCGCATCTGGGGAAGGGGCTAGTTGCTCATCACCAAAGGAGTGCAGAACCAGAGAGCCCTTCCCCAGGCCTGGCAGGAAGCCGGTGAGGAGGTAGATGGTTTTGCCAGAACTCCCCAACTTCCTTCTCACCTCAGGAATGGAGGACTGTGCCTGGGCGTGCATGGTGTGTGCTGGCATGTGTGTGTGTGCATTTGTATGTGTGCATATGTGTGCTGACACGCACATGTGTGCACGGAAGTACATTTGTAGATGCATGTGTGTGCACACGTGTATACGTATGTGTATGTGTGTACATACATGAATACACATGTATGCATATGTACATTAATGTGTGTGTGTGCACATGTGTATGTAGTACATTTGTGAGACAAGGGCTGGGTGCTGTGCCTCTGGACCCTCACCTGGTTCCAAGTGGAGCTGGGCAGCATCCTTGGGAAGAGCTCCTGCCTTCCGAAGACCCAGGAAGGGAGTCAGGACTGAATTTGTGCTGGGTGGCAGTGGCGGTTCCCAAATCTGCCTCTTTATAAGGATCAGCTGCGGAACTGGTTACAATTATGCCATCCTTGGCTGCATGTCCAGTCTCTCTTCGGTGGGGCTTATGATGCTGTAGTCGACGAGCTTCCCCCAGGCGGTGCTGATGTTGGAGATCACTCAGCCCGAGGCACCCACTGCAGAGCCCCCAGGAAGCCAAAGCCCCCGCTTGTTGACCACAGTTGTTTCTCTGCCTTCCTCTGATCTTTGGTTTCCTTGATAAATCACATATTTCTCAAATACCTGATAAGTTTCCAAGCTGTTTATTGCATTGTTGTCTAGATAAAACAGGTAGAACATTTTGGGTTTCTTTTATTTGTGGGAGGAGGCCTTGGTTTTTAACCCTCCATAGTCTGTTTCGAAGACCAGTGCTCTTGGAATATTTTCTTTTACATTTCGGAAATTTACGTTAAGCTTCTTCGTGGTGATTCTTTGGCTTTGAAAGCGATGAGTTTTGTTTTCTGAATGAACCAGGGATTCACTGAATCAAGAGTTTGACAAGCAGGATGAGATGTGGGTCCTGGGAATTCAGCCCAAAGGGCCAACAGCATCTGTTGTTGGGATGAATCAACTTCTCTCCTTTGCATCCAGAATGGTTCTAGCTATTTGGGACAATTGAGAAAATAGTCACTTACATCATTTTTTGTGTCAGCGGTCCAGATGAGAAACCTGGTTGAGAAGCCTGTGGAAATTGTCTTCCAAGATGTTGACCCCGGAAAATTAGGGATTTACCCAAATGTCTGTATCACGGACTTCCCCTCCCCCCATCCAGAAATCTTAGCATCTCTGGAATCTGTTTGGGTTTCCATTGGCGTTCCCTTTCCCATGGGTGGAATATCAAATATTCTTTGGGTTGTTTTAAAACCATCTCCTCTGAGCCCCAAGGAAGTCTTGTGGTCACTGGTGTGCCTTTGAAGGGTAACTGCTTTCTGTCCAGTTACATTTCCATTCTTTGGCCACACACCTTTTGTCTCTGGACAAAAGGATTTAGGGAGACTTAACTGCTTTAGCTTGGCTTCTGTGACCATTTTGGTTTTCTGTCTCAGGTCTTTCCTCACCAGGATACCACACCCAGTCCTATGCTTGGACAAAATTATTCTCTTGCCCTCCTGTTTAACTGGTAGGGCAAGAAACGCTAGTCATTCCACTGTGCGAGACTCATGACGCTTCTCCCCCTCCTTCAGAGACACTGGAAGCTCAGCCTCCTGCCCCTCAAAGCTGCTCCTACCTCTGGGTCCTCCTAGTCCTCAGGAGGCTCCTGGTCCCAGGCCATCTCTCTCCCTCCTGTCTGTCCCTTTCCCCCTGCTTTGCTACATGGAGGCCACTCTCAGGTCTGGCTTCTGTCTGCCCTGGGGTCTGGCTCAGGCCGTAGGCTCTGGAAGGGATGCTCTCCCTCTCCCATTAGCTGGCAAATGGTCCTGGCCTTTCCCATCCCAGACCCCATCCCACTCTAGGCAGCAACCTCCCTGGACTCCCCACCCTCAGCTCCACCGCTGTTGCCCATCACACTGGGTTTCGCTGCCATTTTCCCAACAGGACTGAATCCTCCCATCTTCATGAAACATCCCCAGCTGCTGGCAGAGCTGGGCACAGAGCACGCGCATGCTGTCTGCGTGTTGAATGGACAAATGGATGAACTTGCAGGAAAGCCGAGGATGGAACCTCAGAATGTCTCATCTTTGTGTCTCATTTTCTGTCCCCTCCACTGTGCCTCAGGTCTTTTACTTCTGTGATGTGGGCTAGTGAGTTGATGTGAAAACACCCAGAATGAAGTCTTCTGGATTGTTGATTTGCATTATTGTTGCTGAGAAGCCAGGAGCATGCAGTAAAGTCCTTTCCAGAATCTGCACTTTGGCTCTCAGGAGGGAGCCACAATACCCCTGTGAGGACAGTGTAGTGGACACTGGTGGCTGTGGGTCTGTGTGGATGGCCACGGGAGTCGCTCAGAATGCACAGGTCTGGTTGGGGGTGATGGAGAGGGAGTCAGTATGATTATTTCCAAACTGGATAGACATTTCCTTTATCCTCCTGGTACTCAGCTAGATGACATTTCCTGGACCCCCTTGCAATTAGGGGCAGCCAGGCGACTGCTTTCTGGCCATGGATAGTGGAAGGAACAGGCAAAGTGCACCCCTCCTGGTTCTGGCCCATGAAACCCTCACGGTGTGACTCTGGATGGAGGGAGAGTGACTCCAAGGACCCAGAGGATAGAAGGACCCTGGTCTGCTTGGGAGGGAGCCCGCCAGGAGCACCACCTATCCGGGAACACAAGTTTTGGATGGCTGCCTGGTGGTGAGATGTCACTTGGATTTTGTGAAGTCATTAAGGTGTTGGGATTGTTTGTTATGGTGGTTGGTCTGAGCTGACAAATACACTTTCTAAGTCTCTTTTGTGTCTGCGCTGTTCCTGTCCTGTAAGCTGCTGCCCAGCATTGACCTGACCAACTCTTCCCCATCTTTCAGGAAATAGTTCAGGTGCCACTTATTCTGGGTCACTTTCTCTGATCCTTATGGATCATCAGATGTCAGTTATCTTGGTTGCCCATTCCCTGGATTTACCTCTGTCATTGTGCACTGTCCCTTGTGTCCTGAAGATCTGTTTACTTGTTTCTCTTCCAGCAAACTGTGAGCACTTTGAAGGGTGGGAGGAGTGGAATATGCTGTGACCTTGGTGCCTGGCTTGGGACATGACAGAGGTGGCGTTCAATGTGCTCTTGGAAAGCTGGAGGGGAGGAAGGAAGGCTGTGGAGAAGGGGAGGTGGGGAGGAAGGGAGGGAGAGAGAGATAGAGGAAGAAAGAGATAGAGAGAGAAGAGAGAAAACTCCTCAGAGTCTTTGAGCATTTCTCTGAAATTACAGTAAAAAAACAAAGATCAGAACACCCCAAATGCCCCAAATGTATACTTTTGGGACACAACTGGATTTATATTAAAAATAAGACTTCTCTTCCAACACCATCCAGCCACGAAGAGATTAGATCCTTTCCTCATGGGCCATGTAGGTTGATTTTTTCCATTTATGGGCTTGCTCTTAGTTCTGCCTTCACTCTTGCTCTTGCTAGTGCTCTTTCACTTCTCATCCAAACATCCATCTATCCATCCATCCATTATCCATCTGTCTGTCCATCATCCATTTATCATCCATCCACCATCCATCTATCAGTCACACATCAAGCATCCATCCATCCATCCATCTATCCATCCATCCATCCATCCATCCATCCATCCATCCATCCATCCAGTTAACAAAAAGGTACTATGTGTGAAGTGCTGTTCAAAACAGATAAAAATCATTGCCATTAAACGCAACAAAAGTCTGTACCTTCATGGAGCATATGTTTATTTATCCATTCTTCCCCCCTGACTCTATCTATCTAATTCATTCATCCATCCACCCATCATCTATCATCCATCATCCAACTATCATCCATTCATCATCCATCCATCTCTCCATCCATTCATCATTCATCATCCATTCATCATTTATCCATCCATCGTTCACCCATCTAACGTTGTCCGTATCCATCCATCTATCCATCACCCATCCACCATCCATTCATCCTCATCCATCCATCCATCAGCCACCCATCATCCATCCATCCATCCATCCATCTATCATCCATCCAGCTAACAAAGAGGTACTATGTGTGAAGTGCTGTTCAAAACAGATAAATATCATTTCATTAAAAACAACAAAGTCTATCCCTTCCTCCTCTGGGAACATGCATTTATTTATCCATTCTTTTCCCTGACTCTATTTAATTCTTTCATCCATCTACCCATATTCATCATAATCCATCCATCCAACTATCATCCATTCATCATCCATCAATCTGTCCATCCATCCATTCATCATCCATCATCCATTCATCCATTATCCACCCATCATCCATCATCTTATCCATCATTCATCCATCCATCATTCGTCCATCATCCATCTATCAACCATACATCCATCATCCATTATCCATTCATCATCCATCCACCATTCATCTATCATCCATCCATCCATCATTCATCCCTCATCCATCTATCCATAATCCATCCACCATCCATCCATCATTCATCCATCTATCATCCAGCCATACATTATCCATCCAACCATCATCCACCCATCACCCATCCATCCATCCATCTATCCATCATCCATCCGGGTAACAAAAAGGTACTATGTGTGAAGTGCTGTTCAAAACAGATAAAAATCATTGCCATTAAAAACAACAAAGTTGGCTGAGCGGTGCCTCACGCCTGTAATCCCAGCACTTTCGAGGCCAAGGCAGGAGGTTGAGGTCAGGGGAGTTCAAGACCAGTCTGACCAACATAGCAAACCCTGTCTCTACTAAAAATACAAAGTAGCCAGGTGTGGTAATTGTGCGCCTGTAATCCCAGCTGCAGAGGTTGCAATGAGCTGAGATCGCACCATTGCACCTCAGCAGCCCAGCCTGGGCCACAGTGTGAGACTCCATCTCCAAAAAAAAAAATTCTGTGCTCTCATGGAGCATACACTGATTTATCCATTCTTTCCCCCCACTCTATCTAATTCATTCATCCATCCATCCACCTATCCATCCATTCATCTATCTATTTATTATGTGTGAAGTGCTGTTCAAAACAGATAAAAATCATTGCCATTAAAAACAACAAAAGTTGGCTGAGCGCGGTGCCTCACGCCTGTAATCCCAGCACTTTCGGAGGCCAAGGCGGGAGGATCACGAGGTCAGGAGTTCAAGACCAGTCTGACCAACATAGCAAAAACCCTGTCTCTACTAAAAATACAAAGAAGTAGCCAGGTGTGGTAGTGTGCGCCTGTAATCCCAGCTGCAGAGGTTGCAATGAGCTGAGATCGCACCATTGCACCTCAGCAGCCCAGCCTGGGCCACAGTGTGAGACTCCATCTCCAAAAAAAAAAATTCTGTGCTCTCATGGAGCATACACTGATTTATCCATTCTTTCCCCCCACTCTATCTAATTCATTCATCCATCCATCCACCTATCCATCCATTCATCTATCTATTTATCTCTCTATGCATCCGCCTGTCATCTATTTATCTGCCTATCCATTCATCCATCCACCTGCCTATCTATCTATGTGCCTCGCTATGCCTTTGTCTATCTATCCATTCATCTATCCACCTATTCAACTATCTATCTATCTATCTATCTATCTATCTATCTATCTATCAATCAATCATCTGTCCATCCATCCATCCATCCATCCACCCATCTCTTTCTTTTTCTTTCTCTTTCTTTCTTTTCTTTTCTCTCTCTTTCTTTCTCTTTCTTTCTTTCTTTCTTTCTTTCTTTCTTTCTTTCTTTCTTTCTTATGTGCCTCGCTATGCCTCTTTGTCTATCTATCCATTCATCTTATCCACCTTATTCAACTATCTATCTATCTATCTATCTATCTATCTATCTATCTATCAACCCAATCATCTGTCCATCCATCCATCCATCCCATCCACCCATCTCTTTCTTTTTTCTTTCTCTTTCTTTCTTTTCTTTCTCTCTCTCTTTCTTTCTCTCTTTCTTTCTTTCTTTCTTTCTTTCTTCTTTCTTTTTTCTTTCTTTTTTTCTTTCTTTCTTTCTTTCTTTCTCTTTCTTTCTTCCTTTCTTTTTTTCCCTTCCTTCATTTCCCTCCCTCCTCCTCCTCCCTCCCTCCCTCCCCCTCCCTCCCTCCTCCCTCCCCTCCCTCCCTCCCTCCCTCCCTCCCTCCCTCCTTCCTTTTTCTTTCTTTTCTTTTCTTTCTTTCTTTCTTTCTTTCTTTCTTTCTTTCTTTCTTTCTTTCTTTCTTTCTTTCTTTCTTTCTTTCTTTCTTTCTCTTTCTTTTCTTTATCACATAGCTGTGCTTGAAGTCAAAGCACATGACCATGTGACTGTCTTGGCTAAAGAAATATGAGCAGAAGTGATGTGTGCCATCACCGGGCAAAAGTTTAAGAGTAATTTCTTGTTATGCCACATTTCTTTTCCTCCTCCATATTCTGCAGCAATATCCTAGATGTTTCCTGCTTCATCAGCTTGGGTCCAAGAGTGAGGAACACCATGATGCCCAGAGCACTCCCTGCAGCCTAATACCCACTGCTCCTGACATGTGGTGTGAGGAAGAGTCAGAGCTTTGCTGTATCCTGGTAGATTTTCCATTGTTGTTTCTATAGCATAACTTGGCCTAATCTAGCTGAGAGACACAAAGTGACAGGTTGTTTTCCAGATGGCTACGTCCGTTTACATCCCCTGTCCTCAGTGTTTGGGAATGTCTGTCTTCCTCTCACCTTACCTGCCTGGAATTGTATCTTTTAATTTATGAATTAAAAAAAAATCAGTTTGAAGGTGAAAGCGAATCTCATTTTAATTTCCATTTCTTTGATTAGTAGGAAGGTTGAACGTATGTGTGATGGACATTTGCTCTTCGTATTAATCATTTTGCTGTGTGCTCACTATGTACTGGAAACACTGAACAGTGAGTAAGATGCAGTGTCTTTTCAGTTTAGCCCTACATAGAAGAAATCAGCATTCAGCTCAAGTTTCAGGCATGCACAGTGCTGGGGAAGGAAATTCCCATATGGGATGGAAAGGTGCTGAGGTGGAAGTTCACTGCTGGGTGGAAAGCAGATTTACAAAAGGTGGAGGGGATTGGGCCGGTGAAGGCAGAGAAGGGCAGCGCAGAGTAAAGGGAGCTCAGGATGCCCAGAGCCTGGTCAGCAGCTTCCGCCAGGATGGCAGGCACAGGGCCACGTCTGATTTATCAATGTGTGCGTCCTGTCCTGCATCTCAGTTCACTGACGCCTCTATTGCTGGTCTCCCACAGTTGCAGGTAGGTGGCGGGTCCCTGTGTGCCCCACTCCGGCTTTGCCTGTGCTATGAGTTGGAGGCTCTGCCTCCTGACGTTTCTACTCAAAGCCCCTGCAGCGGGCACAGGCCTGTCCCCTGCAGCAGCTCCTTACCCTGAGCCAATGCAACTGTGTCTTGCCACCTCTGGCCCCGTCTTTAAAGGTCAACTGCTTAAGTAATGATTTCAGCCATTCTAAGGCAAGTTGAATTACTTTCCAGCAGTACATGTGCTTTAGAATAAAATCCATTGGAGAGCCATGGGAAGTGGGGTTTGGCTGCAGGGAGATGGTTCCCCCTGCCCCCTGAGCCTGGGTAAGGGCTGGGGGCTCCCTGGGAATGCTGCAGAGTAACGGTGGTTCCCAAGGGGCCTCTCAGGATTCCAAACGTTCCCCCACCTTTATGCCACCATAAATGATTCAGGTAAATTGCTCTGGCCTGTGGGAGGAAGCAGCCCCAGCAGAGGCCTTCAGTGGTAGGTTTGCAGAGATAGGGGAGGCTGTGTGGGGCCTGTTAAGGTTCCAGGTCCCTTAAGGTGCAGGAGATAGGTGGCCATGGACTCATTAGAGAAGGCAGGGTGGGTGCTTGGGGATGGAGTGGTCGGCTATGGCAGGGCCTTGCCCATCAGGGCTGTGGCTACCCCACCAGAGGCACCCGCAGCTCCTGCCCACTGGGTGTCCGTGGAAATCTCCCCCAAGGCAGTTCGCTGAGTGAGGGGAGGGGAGGCATGGATGATGGGAGGACACCTGCCTGCCTTCATTGGCCTCCTCGGTTCCAGGTAGCCCCTGGCCTGTCATGTACTCTGATGTCCCTGGGGGTCCCTTGGGTGAGCTGATGTTTCTGGGGTGTTTCCTAAAGGCCAGAACAGACCCGAGGGCTAGGGGCCCTTGTTCAGCCCAGGGAGTTTTGGGGTGAGCATCTTACCTCCCATGGTCTGCTTGGCATTCTCCAGTTTGCAGAGGGCTGAACCCTGGGCATTTCACATCCAAAGGTGGAGTGGCGTCTCAGGGGTGCTGTGTGCACAGAGCCCGGCCCAGAGCCTCTCACGGCCGGTTACAGGATTTGATGCTGACACTACGATGGTGTTTTGCTGACACAGGAATGCAGGCTCAGGAGCTGGTGTGAAGGTCCTTCCACAATGCCTGCTACTTGGGCATCCAGAACTAAAGCACCGAGTCCTTGTTTGTTCCAGGAAGTTCCTTGATTTAATTTTTCTGATTGATGGGTGCTTCTAATTGGAGAACCTTCCAAAAAGCGCAGCCTTTGAGAAGTGGCTGGGCGGTTCTCAGCCCTTTGGCCAAAGGGCTGCCAATATTCCCACCTGCGTTCCTCTACTCTGCCATTCCGACCGTAAAATCCCCCTGAAGAAAACTTTGTCAGGCCTGATGCAGGCAGAGTATGCGGAGCGGTGTTGGGAGTGGGGGCTGAGAATGGTAGAAGCTTCATCACGGAGACAAGAGAAGAGACAGCTGAGGGAGAGACAGTGAGTCAAGAGAGCTCAGCGGATGCCAGACCCGGAGCAGATGGGAGTAGGACGGCAGAGGCCCCAGGGCTTGCAGAAATTGTGGGGAAGGCACAGGGCACCCCATAGGCACAAGTGAGGGTGCTGGAATTCATTTTTACCAAACCGTACACCTGGCTTACCTGTGAATCTCAGGGGCTACATAGCAGCAGGCACACAGCTGGTGGTGGAGGCAGGTCTGTGCAGAGGTCCACTGTGGTCTGCAGCCCGGAGCACGGACATCCCAACCAGGGTTGCAGGGTGAGCACTTGAGTTTGGGGCCCAGATCATGGGCTGGCCTGATGGAACAGACAAGAACTGAGGAGACTCTCACTGCTACTGGAGGATGGGACTGACGGGAGACAGAAGCTGTCCACTGGCTGATGGGAGACAGAAGCTGTGCATGGGCCACCACCCCTTCAGGGTCACAGTTGCCACTGGCATGCCTGAGAGTTTGTTTTTAAAAGAATGTCTTTCAGAATTTGTGATGAAGAACCCAAAAGCAAATGCAACAAAATAAAAAATAGACAAATGGGACTTCCGCACAGTAAAAGAAACTATTAAAATATCAACAGAGTAGACAGACAGCCTGCAGAAGGGGAGAAAATATTTGCAAACTGTGCATCTGACAAAGGTCTGATTTCCAGAATCTATAAGGAACTTAAACAAGCCAGCAAGCAAAAAAACCAAATAATCCCATTGAAAAGTGGGCAAAGGACATGAACAGACACTTCTCAAAAGAAGACATAAAGTTTGCCAACAAACACACGAGAAAATGCTCAACATCACTAATCATTAGAGACATGCAAATCAAAACCACAATGAGACAGCATCTCACGCCAGTCAGAATGGCAATTATTAAAAAGTAAAAAAATAACAGATGTTGGTGAGGCTTCAGAGAAAAGAGAATGCTTACCCATTGTTAGTGGGAATGCAAATGAGATCAGCCCCTGTGGAAAACAGTTTGGAGATTTCTCAAAGAACAAAAAACAGAATTATCATTCGACCCAGCAATCCCATCACTGGGTATATACCCAAAAGAAAATAACTGGTCCTACCAGAAAGACACCTGCACTCAAATGTTTGTTGAAGCACTATTCACAATAGCAAAGACATGGAATCAATCTAGGTGCCCATCAGCGCTGTATTGGATAAAGAAAATGGGTACATATACACCATGGAATACTACACAGCCATAAAAAATGAAATCGTGTCCTTTTCAGCAACACGAATGCAGCTGGAATCCATTATCTTAAGCTAATTAATGCAGAAAGAGAAAACCAAACATCACATGTGCCCACTCACAAGGGGGAGCTAAACACTGGGTATACACAGACACAAAAATGGGAAGTACAGACACTGGGGTTTACTAGACAGGGGAGGGAAGGGGGCAAGGGCTGAAAAACTACCTATCAGGTTCTGTGTTCACCACCTGGGGGGTGGGATCATTAGAAGGTCAAACCTCAGCATCAGGCAATATACTCATGTAACAAACCTGTCTGTGTACCTCCTGAATCCAAACAAAAACCCAGCCTTTCTCTTTCCAAAACCCCAAAGCAAACCCATCAAAAAACTTTCCAAGGAAAACACAATCCCTAGACAAACAGCTATATTTTCAGCAGAGCAGATACCAGCCTGGGAGACCCAGAACTGGTTGCCTTCCACACCTACGGCCAGCCCCAGGCTGCTCAGAAAAGGCCACTGGGCAAGGAGAGGCGGGGACCTGGACCTTTGGTCCCATTGGCCTCTCTGTCAGAGGCTTTGCCTCTGGCCCCAGCTTCTGAGAGGCTGTTTTCCTGAAGAAGGCCATAGTGGTTCTTCTCAGAAACATCGCTCTCCCTTTAATGATTCAGCATGTGTGCTGAGTGGGGTGCAGGCGGCATGAGTGAGATTGGACTTGGCTAACCTTTAATGCCAGCTGGAAAGCTTAATAAAGTGACATTCGGCCTGAGCTGCAGCCTCTGCAGCTTAATGGTGCACCTCGAGGTGGCTGCTGGAGACCCTGTTTGTTCAGCAGCAGGCAGGCCTACCGTCCGGAGCCTCTTCTGGTCAGGGCGGGCCACTGGGATGCCGTAGATTGGAAGCATTCAGGGGCCCTGGCTCTTTGAGGGGCACTGTGGGGTGGGTTGTGCCCTTGCCGTCAGCCTTAGGGAAAAGAGCACTGGATTTGGAGTCTGAGAGCTCCTGGCAGCTTCCCGCCTCCCCCACTTTCCAGCAGTTTGCTCTGGAGTGAGATTCCTTGGGGTCCTGAGCCTGTTCACTTACTCATCGGGTATAGTTAAGAGCTACACACTTTTTATATGCATGTCCTTTCTGCACAGTGACACCCACAGTCCTGGGGACAGCAGCCGTCTCCAGCCTCCTCACCATCTGGCGCCCGTACCTGCAAGTCCGGGTACAGGATGTCTCTGCGAGGTGTCACTCACTCACTCACCTGTTCATTCATTCAACGTGTTTTTGCTGGGTAGGTGTGTGGTACAGGCCCGACCTGGCATTGGGGCTTCTGAGTGAGTCTCTGGCCGGCAGGCTGCAGGTGGCACACTTGTGGCTGAGCTTTCCGGACTCTGGGACTTGGATGCAGCATCCCAGTTTCAGCCCTCAAGGGCACCTTGCCTTGACCTCCTTTCTTCTCCTTGCCCCCTCTCTCCCTTTTCCTCCCTTTCTTTGGTAACTTTTGAGTCCCTCCTATGTGCCAGGTGCTATTCTAGGCACTGGGAGGGGGGAGGGGTGGCCTAGCAGCAAACAAAACAGACAAGTCCCCACTGTCCCTGCTACCAGGAGGGGCCCAGGATTGGGTGGCCCAGGGCCCCACGTAGCAGTTCCTAGAGTCTGGGCCCAGGGAACGTCACACTTTAAGCAGTGTGGGCCCGTCTTGATCTGCTGTCTTTTCTTGGCTCTCTTTGTCTGTCCTCCATGCTTTACCAACCCCCAGGCTGGCCAGGAGCTCTTCAAGCCCAGATGTCCGTGACTTGTGCACACTAGAAAATGGGGCATCGCCGTGGAGGGTGAGCCTTTCAGACTTGGGGGATGCTGCTGGGTTGAGATGGGGACTTGATGGGAGCGTAGACCCCATATCTCTCTCTGAAGATGTGATTCTGTAGGTCAGTGGAGGAACCCAGCAGTTCCCTCTGATGCAGATGGTCCCCTGATCACAGCCTGGGAAACATGGGGTGCTAGAGTCTGTTGAGATCGAATCCTAGCCTGCCACTGTGACTGTGTGGGCTTAGGCAAGCACCAGCAATTGTGAACTGTCTGTGATTTCACCCTATTTTCAAGCTAACAGGTGAGCCTGCTACCCTTCCCTGGATGCTGGCAGAAGACATGAAATTCCCGGGGCAGAGACAGCTGTTGTTGTTACTTGCCACCCAGCAGGCAGCCGAAGCTTCATGGTCCTCATGGGTCCCCTCTGCCTCTAAACCCCATGGCTGTGATACTGAGAGGCCCAGGTGGATGCTGTAGGGGGTCTGTGTCCCAGCCAAGGATGCCATCTGAGGAACCCTGTCTTGCTGAATGGACTACAAGCACACCTGCCTGGCCTTTGCCCTTGACGGGGACATTATCTTTATTACACTGGAGTCCGGAAAAGCCTGCCTCCGCCCTGGAGGGAGACAGCCTCTATCTTCCAAGGGTGTTCACTATTCAAACATTCTTGGGAAGATAGTCTGGAGCAAACACTATAGATGGCTATATCCAAGATGAGCAGAACCACCAGTGACCCAGGGGACTGTGTCTCGGGAGCAAGTGACTCAGCCCTGCTGAGCTTGTTCCCTTGTCTGTAGAAGGGGACACAATAGTGGTGTCCATCCCCAGAAGGTCACTCCATTACCTGCTCCATTTTCCCCTCTAGTCCCTGCCCCACCCCCTTGCCCATCCAGGGGTGGGGATGGGGAAGCTGGAGGGAGGAGCAGGGCTTTGCAGACTTGGGTGATTCCATCAATTTCTTGTGCTTTTGTAAACTCTGCTGCTTGTTTGGGGCTGGCTGCTGCTTCTAGCCCTGGTGAGCCAAGGCCCCTGCGTCTGGTGCTGCACCCTGGCCTCCTGAGGTGCCCCTGGCTCACAAGGCCTTCTCCAGGGAGGTGTGACAGATGACTATGGAGTGACCCTCCCAGCTGCTCGCAGAGTTGACAGCCGAGAGACTCTCAGAAGTGCCTTTCCTGTTTCATTGTCTATCACTTATGCACAGCAATCTAAATTCCTAGCTGTTAATGAAAGATTATAGATGTGTTAAAAATATCCCTAAAACCTCTCTTCTTTGCACTTGGATTGTTAATTAAATTCCCAAGCTCCATTTTCAGGTTTTAATGAACAGCACAGTGTACTTCATTGGCATGTTGGCCTTGCGTGTAGCAACCTCCCTCAGCCCCTCTGGGGGAAACTCTTAGAACAGGTATCTGAGTGGAGGGTCCCAAGGTCCCGACAGGGCTGATGGGCTCCCATGAACCTCCTCTGGAGGGTGACACGGGTTGCTTTGCAGGTGCTGCTGCCAGTTGGGGACTTGGAGAGACACTTGTCCTCATCAGAGTTTGTGTGTTGTTGGTGATCAGGTCCTTGTCCTTAGGGGCTGGGGTTGCAGGCCGGCAATGCCAGGAGCATTTTTGTCAGCCTTCTGGTGCCGCACTTGCAGTTTGGGAAGCTGCTACCACCTGAGCTGGGCTTCCTGGCTGAGGACATTGTGCAAACAATAGCTTCCTTTAGGCAGGGAGCCATTCAGTGCAGATCATGGTGCACTGCGCTTTCTCTATGAAATTAGAATGATCATAGGAGTAACAAAGCAATAGTATCAGCTTCAGCTCATTTCAGCTTTATGAACCTTTGCAGAGCACCTATGATGTGCTGGGCACCTTGCCGAGTGCCTGGGATCTGAAGAGCCTTGTGGCAAGACGTGGGTGGGTTTTGCTTCTAAGGTCTACATAGGTAAAAAAAAAAAAAAAAAAAAAAAAAAAAAATTACAGACTAAAAATCACTGTGAACTTGCTGCCAGATCTCAATGTGGGCCCTTGGAAGTGCAGGGCCCGAGGATTTCCTCTTTCATTCCTCTTTGTATTCCAGCTGTGGCTTCCCTGCAGAAGGATAGTGGAGGCCAACGTCTGGTTTGGACAGGAGTCACGGCTGTGAGGGAAGCTAATACAGAGATGGCTCTTATTTTCCCCACCCTGCAGCCCCAAGCCTATGCAGTTGAGTTCTTAGAAGTCACATTTCCATATTAGGCCAGAGGCTTATCCAGGCAGCAAAGTTAAGGAGAGAGTGGGGAGAGTTAGCATAGGTTTAGGTGCCCTGCAGGAGGAGGCAGCCTGGGAGGGGGAGTTAGAATGAAGATTCAGGGTCTTGCAGAGAGAGTGGAGCTAGACACAGCTTCTGGGATACACAGAGAGGCATTTGGCCCCACCCTGGGCTTGGGAAGACTTCCAGGAGGAGATGGCATGCTGTTTCCTAAGGGTCATTTTTCCTATTTAGGAGGATAATGAATAGATTTGGAGTAAGAATGAAAGGAAGTAAACATCTAGGTACATTTGGGTGCCTCGTCTGCTGTAGATGAACACAGACTGTGAACACTATGTCCTCAGTGCCTAGCAAAACACAATTGCCTAATAAATATTTGTGGCATGAATAAAAGACCATGAATTATTTTCTACTTTGAAAAGAAGACTTTAACTCTCCTTTTCCGAATTCAGTGGTTCGTAA